TGTAATGCTGTTATATAATTCACAGAGAAAAGCCTAGGAATAGATGGTAGGTGGCCTCAGGCTGAACTACTACTAACACAGAGAATGCAGTTGCAGTATTTAGCACACAGTCCTGGAAATCGCAGGCGAGGTTAATTCTCAGTGAATCATTGTTTGGGTTTTAAATTTAAATCACTCTTGCATCGTATATCTGAGACTTATTCTGGATTAAGACTCAACAGATTCTTGACTGCCCTGCTTGAGTCAAACGTTGGCCAACAGCTAAAGACATCAGGATTTAGATTCTTTAAGCCAGTTTAATTAAAACAACAACAGAAAATGCAACACAGTTTTAAGGTATTTTGTTCACTGAGTTACAACATGAAACATCCTTAGAAGTTAAGCTGATTTTGCTGATTCAGATTTTCTTCATAAACGTCACCTCTAGTTAAAATGTTCTGCAATCATTTGGAAGCAAGTTACAGTATTCTGCTTGTGTATGAAACGTGGAATGAAAAACTAGTTTACAAATCAATTCACAAGCTAAATGTCTTTTGTACAATAGAAATAAGTCCACTTTACTGCTACCAAAGTTAAATTTATGCTGCTGTCGTCACACTAGTTGCACAATAAAAGTTATGTCTTACGCCTGACTGGAAGGTTTGTAAAGTTGTGACATGCACACAGCATACAACACTCCATGTTTCCTGGCAGACAAAATACTGCATCTTGTAAAGCAAATTATTGGGTTATTAATCCAATATGCATGGAAACGCTTGATTCATTTTAACAGCAACAACATATGGAGTCTGCTTTGTAGTCTTGTTGCGGTGTTCTTTGCTTTCTCACTGTGTCAACAAAACTTTTATTAACAAAAAGAATCAACCTTTTCCCTCACTGCTACTTAAAATAATCACATCCTGTACTGCTTAAGGAACGGCCACGTGTATGAATACGGACACACTTCCTTTGTTGCAGTAAGAAAATGGCAACAGAGAGCTCAAGCAGTGAGGATTCAATGAGTTCTCAGGGAGGTACAACTTAAACCCGGCTACCTTTACGGAAAACTTACTTCAACATTCATAGCATCTGGCATCCATGTGGCTCTGAGCAAGGACCGCGAGCGCTAACACACACATATACACACATATCTCAAACTACCGGCGCTGCCAGACATGTTAGAACAGAGTCAGCAGTCGCTCCCTTCCCTCCCCGCCCAGCATTCAGGCTTGGACTCTGCATGAGTAACCCCACAAAACTAGCACTCGCAGTGCAACACACCGCAGAGACGTCAACCCGACCATTACGTATGCCTGAAATAGCGCAAGTAGCCTTAAAGGAGAGGGTTAAAATAATGAGCTGCAATTATAACAAACCCCAACCAAACCCTGTTGTTTTGTTTCAAGTGAAGAACTTCCATTTTGACTGAATGAAAACGTTTGTGCAGGTGACCTCGTCTGTTTCCTGAGTGCAGCTTTTTGCAGCTGGATGATCTCCTGTTGTTTACACTGTCACACCTGAAGGAGAGTCAAAGGACTGAAGCATGGTTGGTTCTTTTTTTTCCCCTGAAAAAAACTGCACAGGAAGTTTTGTGCAGCATTTTATGAAATGAAAAAGAAAATCCCTGCAGTTTTCTGAAACTTGGTAAAGTGTCTAACAATGTACAGTTGCATGAGTTAAGCTCTCTCAATTATGTGACTGGAAAGGTGCACAATGAATCGAACATAAATCACAATCACAACTTTGGCTTTCCACTATTTAAATGAACATCACAGACTGCAATAATGCCGTTTACAATGCAAGAAAACTCCACTCAGAAAAAACAGCCGCTGTAGATAAAATCACTTGGCTTCAACATGGGGTAAAGCTGACATTACAACACTTTAATTCACTCTTTGCCAAATAATTACTGGTGACACGCCTGTCTGAGTTGCACTGCAGTAACTGAGTGGAGACTAGAAGCTTCTCTGTGCATCAGCTGCTGTCTACTATAACTTGCATGTGAGTGACTAAAGTCAGGTGAACAAGAACCTTATTTTTAGTCTGAATTTGATGTAAAAATGTGTACATTAGCAGTACAATGCAGCTCTACTTGGTTGCATGCCAAATATGAAGAATTCTGGAGCACTAGAGTGATCTAAAGGAAAAGATAACGTAGAGATAACTACAGAATAACACACTGAGACATAAATATGCCGTTCAGATGTATTCCTAAACTCTGTGTGGAGTATTAGTGACCCATCGGTAGATCTGGGTCTCTATGAACACGTCTACATGTTTTCAATCCAACCAAAATCAACAAATTATCCTAAAGGAAACATTAAGAGCTGCAGTAGGGCGCATGTGAAGTATGCTGATAATATCCTCAGGGGATGCTAGCAGGTTAAATCTCTCAGGTCCACTTCCTTGAACAGACTAAAGCTTCACTAAGGAGGCCAGGAAAGCAGAGGGAAAAAACACAATCCAAGGAAAAGGCACAAAGGGAGACAAACACAGGAAGAACTGACCCATTTTTTTTTCTTTTATCCTTTTAGCAAACTTGAGACATTGATATGAGGAGTCCAACAGCATCTCTGCGGTTGCAGTAAAAGCTGATGTTTTCAGTTACCATCAGGGTCTGTGATGTCTGCTGCAGAATGTTTTCAGCTCTCACAGGGCCATAAAGAGAGCTCAAACACAAGGTTAATACGAAACTAATACAAATAAATATATGGCCTCCCTGGAAATTGAGCTTTCTGAAACTTGAATTTCCTGAGATATAAGGCTTGAATCCTATTGCATCTACATGGGCTAGATAGTGTAGACTGATAGCAGCAGAGGGCCCAGGGCACCTGTATAACTTACACAGAGCGGATCTGACTGTATACAGACCCTCACGCCGTAGACAGTGTGGATACTGTGGAGATAAGACATGCAATAGGACGGTAACAGATAGAGTTTCTCGTACTTTATGGCAATAACAGTAATCTCATCCTTTCTCATGGAGCTGTGGCATGCTAATTCCACAGCCACATTCTCCTGACAGTCAAAACACAATATCTCTTTCAGCTTATCTTCTAGCAACAAGGCCGAAGGCAGATTAAGCGATAAATTCAGAAGAAAGCATTAAAAAAAAAAAAAAAAAAGAAGACGCTCCTAAAACATTATGAAAAGCTCCTAGTATGTATCAGGCTTCCCCTTGAGAATTTGCATTGCGAGGAGACGATTATGTAAAATACGTGTAACAGGTTATCTCCAGTTACTAATGTAAAGCACCACGCATGCTTTCTTCTTCAGCTCAGGTAGCAGTTTTTGTATTCACAGTGCAGTCTGAGCATCAGAGAAAGCCAGCCCCGAGGCTAGGGATTCAGTTGGGCTTCTAATGCTGAGTTTAATACTGAGGAAACCACTGATAAATTCAGAAATAACAACAGATCCAACATTCGCTAAAGTCACAGGTCACCCGTGGTGTCGTGACAGCAAGGTAAAACAAAGGTCAAGAGTTCCGAAGCACATCCGCGACTCACATTAAGTTTTAGTGGAGTTCCAGTGGGGATAGCCTTGTGCAATTATGGACCATCCCATCGCACATTCCTACACAGACTCATCTGAATGAGTCACCGACACACATACCAACCATCTTTGTTCGCACATTTCCTTTATGTTTCCGACTCCAGCACTGCTCTTCCTGTGCAGACAGCACCTGCACCATGTCTCTCTCCATTCACTTTGCTCTGTGACACCACCGGGCCAAGAGTGTCACGATCCTAACATCACGACTTGTTTTTCTTCCCCTACAGCTGGAGCGGAGACCTGGATCGAAAGCTTTGTCGCTGGGGAATGGACCGGAGAAGGTAGCTGATTAACCTGCCATATGCACTGGATGAGTTTCAAGTGTTAACGGGGGATCCCCTGACTGAGTGTGCACACTGGTTTTGTCCAGCACAAGCCAAAAAGTCTTGACTTCATCTGTAAGCTGCCAGTTTTAGAAATACAATAAACATCATTGTGCAACAGCGTTTAATATATTACATCAATGTCCTTATTATAGCTTGACAAAAGGCATATGAGTGTCAAATTAAGTTAAAACACCCAACAACAGGACACAAGTTCAATTGGCAAAACATCCTTTCTGCTGAAGTGCCCTTCAGCAAAATACCAAACCCCCAGCGACTCCGGAAAGTGCTCAACATCTGACTCTAACATCTCTGGAAATGAGGCAAATATAAAGATAATTTAACTCTAACCAATGAACAGCAGGACTTTTGGTCCCAAGCAATGTTCACAGCTTGAAATAAGCTTAAAATAAGGAGAAAAACGTTTCTGTTTTTGCTCTTGATTACTCTCTGGTCTAATATTAAACAGGGGGGGAAATTGTTGGCATTCCTGGGGACTAAGACAACAACTTTGCAGTTTGCTCAATAGGAAAACAAAAGGGGAATTTGCAGCACCAAACAGGATTTAATGAGAATGGGGTGCATATAATTTAGTGCCATACAAGTTGTGGCATTCACACTTAGTCGTGGGTGTTTTGATGATGCTAGAATAACGATTCAATTGCATTTTACTGCTTAAATATGTGGGTGAAGGCACTAATTCCTCTGCTTTTCCACGAATGCACCAGGTTAATAAGAAGGGTGAAGGTTTAAACAAGTATTTCAAACTCCCCATGAACAAACTATCCTTTGAACAAGTCTGCTTTATATAAGTAAAGATACAATGCCACAACTATGTAGAGTCATATTTCGGGGCAGCATTCCCGGAGAAATATCCTGGCAGCATCACCGCTGATGAAGCAACACTACTCATCTGCCCTGACTTTGCCTTGTAGCGGACACAAACTGCTCAAAACACTCATCTTACACGCTAAACATACAAAATAAACTTTAGCAAAAACCGCAAGAAGCTGTAAAAGGATTAGCTTAGCTTAAAAAAAAGATGCCGCAACCAAGCTAGCAAAAAGTCGTAACCGTTAAAAATCCCCCAGTGTGAAGTAATTAAAAAAACGGATGAAGGCATTCAAAGCTGAAGGTAAAACTCACCTTTTGACCGTTAAACAAGTTATTCCCTTTAGGAGAGTTATTCCAATATTTTCGCGAGTAGACGAGAGGGGAAAAATCCACAGTTTTGAGAGACTTCACCGAAGTTTCGGGGAGGAGAAGAGTCGCCGTTCGGCTGCTTCAGACGAGAGCCACAGTCTGTCCCTGCTGGAGCCGCGCATAGGAATACATGTGCGGTGAGTGGAAGCGCTGAAGGAGGGGAGGCTGGGGGAAGATGAGGGTTTGCTTTTCGCTAGAATCAACAACACACGCTTACAAAATATTAACAAAACGTGTCACTAACTAAAATAAAATAGCTTAGGATTACACTCGGTGGATATATGTAAATTAATGTGGAGAATCGCCACCGTGTTCACAGCGGACCACCCCCCTCTCGGAGGTGCGTGACTTGGTACGGCCCACGGGCTGCCTCTCATTCCATTCCTCCAGCAGGACCGGAGCTCTGCAGCAGTAAATTTGGAAGTGGCAGCGGGGAGAAATAGCAACGGCGTCGGTCGTATGTAATAAAAGCGCACTCAGAAAAAGTTTTGTGATGTAGGACAGTTTATTTTGGATCACCAGCAGTTGCAGCTGGTTTTCTTTTATAAGCCTCTCCTCACCAGGGCCACTATTATGGACATGCAGCAACAAGGATGAAGGAAGGATACCCAAGGAGACCTGATTAAATAAAAGACCCAATTATATATTAGTACAGGGCAATAAAATTTGCATGAGGTGACTTTGAGTTTAATGAGCTGCCAGTTTATATGAATGATACAGCACAGTTTGCATTGGTGGAGGTTTTGGTTGGGAGAATGCACAGGATAAGTCCTCTTCAGTAAGTAGCCTTCCACTGCAGATGAATGTTTACAGTGAATTTGCAGTGGAAAAGAGCACTTATTAAGGTGGCCCGGACCTTTGTGCATGTTCTGACTGCTGGCATCGCCCCGTAGAGCCTCTTTTAAGGATGTTTTTGAGCAAGAAAGCAGCACCTACTCCAGGATTCAAGGATAACTTAAAAAGTTCTCACCCTCACCAGCAAATGTCACAAGAGAAGCATCGTCCTTGCATTATTTCTCAACATATTCTCCCTTAACTTCAATGCAGCTGGTGCACCAGCGCTCAAGAGGGTCACATCTTCGTCATTCAGATACTCAACAGCATGCATGACATCATCACAATGAAAACGGCGACCACGCATGTAGGATTGAAACAGATAAGAGTCAGACGGTGCAGGTCGGTGACTCAGGTGCATGTTGCAACAGTTCAAAGCCACGCTTGGCTGCTTCTGCCACACCAAAACTGGCCCTAAAGGAAGATCTACAGGGACGTTTCTTGCAGTTGGAGCACATGCAAAAGTTCTGGCCGGCAGAAAATGGCACATAAGTTCCTGTAGTGAATAAAGGGACTAGTAGTTAGGACATGAGTGCTTGTCCCTCTGAATAAAAAAAAAACATAAAAGAGGAAGAAGACTTGTGTTTTGAAAAACCTGCATAATGTCATGAATGGATGCAACAATGCCTCAGACAGAGGCAGATTTATTCCTTCAGTACTTTTATCTTCAAAGTGATGAATTATGAGCACATGCAGCGACTGAATCCATCGTGACAAACACATTTAGACTTATGTCTATTTCACAAAATTTTGACTCATCAGCTGGTGCCTGAATTTTGTGTTTTCCACAATAAATTGATGGAGAAAAGGCACAAATTGGTGCATAAAGATTGCCAGAATGCAGAAAATGAAATTTATGACACTTAAATTTTCAAAATGTGTCCCCCTCCAAATGTTAAAATGAAAACTACATGGTGACAGTTAGGGAGTTTTGTCAGGTGAACATAAAAGAAGTAAATTAACCTAAATTAAATCCTGTCAGTTTAGAGAAAACATGCACAGAAATATCAAGGCGATGGAATCACTACAATAAACACATAATAAAGGACATAACTTAGTACAGTTAACAGAGAAATTGAGAATGTCAGGAGGCAAAAGGAGCCTTAAAAAAATGCACAGTGATAAATGTACATGTGCTCCATGTTTATTATGACAAGCTGCTCGTTCGCTGCATCCTCTACCTTCATGATGTCAGCCAGTGATTTGAAAGCGGGGAGAGCCCCTCTTCGCTGACATTTTGACCTGTAATTAGTGCTCGGGGGCCCAGACTCTGCTTCAACTGCTTGTCAGGGAGAGAAATGAGTGCCAAACATGAAAAGGGGCGCCGAAGTGTGCCTGGTCAAGAAGGCTAAACCCCCTCTGGCCCACATCGGACAGGGCTTTGAAGTGACATCAGAAAGGGACCTTTGAGCAACAAAGCTACCCACAGACCATTATCTCCAAAAAAAAAAAAAAAGCAATCTACAGACCACAAACCCCCAAATCCCTGGATCAGACACTACACTGATCAGGTTACTGTCATGTTCAAAGGGTGCAGGACTGGCAGTGTCGTACAACGTTATGTGTGATGCTTCAGCAACATCTTCAGAGCTGTTTGTCAAAGCACTGTTCCTCTCACTCAATGCAAAACCTTGGGAACAAATGCCACTCCAACTGTGACATACCTGACGTATTCCACAGCTTATGTCCCTCCTCAGCCTCCCTCTAAACCGCAGAGTGCTCCCAGCCTTTGTCTGCAGACGTCCCGCTCTTGATTTGATTAGCTGGCTCTGGTCGGGGCTGGAGGTGCAGCAGGGAGCAGGTTGGGCTTTTTGTAGCGGCTGTATCTGGCTAATTGAAATAACTCCCTCTGCGTTTCTGCCTTCCCCAGGGGAAGGATGAGTAGCTCCCCCACCGGACTTCAGTCATCGTGGAGAGTCCTTGCCATCAGCTCCTCCCTGGGCTTAATGTGACAGATGCAGCTGCTTCTCTGCACCCCAAGCAAGGTAAAAGCAACACATTATGTCACTCTCACACACTGTGCTGCTCTGTAACACAGAATGATGAATCACAGGAGTGATTAAACATGTAGTAATTTACTGTAAAGGTTCGGGGCGCAAGAATTTATCCAAAAAACAAAAACTGCAAGCAGAGCGTGAGTACAATCCAAGTGAGAAAAAATAAAACAATAAAGCCAAAAGTATATTTTATATGATTATAAACCAAAAACACATCATTAACATGTTGCTATAACATCCTTTAAGGTTTCTCACATGAGTTTGGAACCTGCCTGCCGGGATTTTCTAACATTCAGTCAGTGAGGTCAGGCGCTGACGCTGGGTGAGAAGACCTGACTCACAATGTGTGATTCCAAAGGTGCGAGACCCCGTGGACCTGAGAAAACCATTTCTTTCTTACTTATTATGGGTTGTTTGTTTTGTTTTGATAGCGGATGGCGAAGAGGGCACATGATATGGAACAAAAGTCAAAGGCTGAAAATGAACCATGTGGCCTGTTTAAACAAAAGCAATTTGTGAGCGCGACATGGAGTTTTTACACAGATCACAAAAGCTACAGTCCACTTTTATATGCTCATGCAGGATTTCAAGTATGTTAAACTTACCAAAATTACATTCAAAGAAGAAAATCTAATGTTGAAAATTGCAGCTTGCATGTTGTAAGATTAGTGAAATGAGCCAAGTGGACCTGTGGGAGTTATGTGGCATGAGCTTTAACCACTGGGAAGTGCCGTTTTTCTGGACCTGGCTTTGCACACAGAGATATCAGCCATTTGAACTGAACTTTTAAAATGTGGCAAAAAAAAAGAAAATGCAAAGAAGGCTTCTTCCCATTAGCAGCTTTGGAGCGAACAGGCTGATTAGTGATGTCAGAAGATGGGTGCAAAGGCGACTAGTAGAGGCTGAGTCAATAGCAGGAGTCGTTGAGATGCTTCACCTGGATGATCTTCATGATTCAGAGACAAGACTTGCAGTTTAATGCTTGGTTTATTAATTTTCTTCCTCATTCGTCACAATTAAGCTTGCACATAACTGACTAGAAAACGACTGGTTTCTGTTTATTGAGCGCTAATTAGCTGCTGGAGCTACATTTTTCATGGCTGTAAAATTAAAAAAACCCAAAAAAGAGTAGAAGAAGCTAAAAAACACACAAAACTTTGACAATTTGTGAAAGAAAAATGGAGACACTTCTTCAGGAATTGTTTTAGGAAAGACGTCTCTGTTTCCCTTTTTCGAAACAATTAAAGAATTACTTTAGCAAGCTTAAATCAATTTTTAAATCAAGGTTTTGGGGGAATTTGGGCTTTTCCATTATGTTTTTAAAATATGGGAACACTCATTATGTTGAAACAGGAAGAGGATCAAGATAACAGTATGCTATTGTCTAAAATATCATTCAGCTGTAGCCAACACTTCCCTGTTTTGAACCTTCTAAGATAACTTCTTAGCATAAATACATAAAAGCAGGTACCTGGAGGTGAACACATACTTTGTCTTTAGCTGTGTGCTGCAGGTATCGGACTGTTACAAGTCATGCATTCTCCACATTTACTGGAAACTACTTTGTCTACACACGAAGCAATTATGCATATTTGAGTTGTACTTGATGAGCCTTTTGTTATTTTTTTTTTTCCTCTTTGCCCTCCAAAGAATTCTTGTAAATAGCTACAGTTTATATCTGACAACAAGCATGTGTTTTGGAAACTCCTCACAGCATGGACATGAAATCGAAGAAGCCGTGCGTTCAATCAGACCCCAACAGATGTTGTCTAAATGTGGTAATTTGCCGCTCTGTTACGTAAGGATGCATACCAGTCTTATTGAACAATGTTGGAGGAGAGCGATGGTGGAAAACTTCCCTTGTTTTAAGGGCCACATCAAATATTGTGGGTCATGTTTATTTTATGCACTTTTTTTTTTCCCTGCTTTCTTTTTGAATGAGTTAGGCAATACGGCAGATGGCTGGTCAGTTTGCATGGGATCCTTGATTCAATATTCTCCCTCCTCGGGGAAATATCAGGGAGATAAGGGCGGAAGATAAATTACAAAGTGTTATGGGGAAAGCAAGGCTTCACTCCGGTGTGCTGCAGTTTTATTAGTGAGCAATATTGAAACAGATCACTGAAAGTTTTAAGGATGAACTTCCTCATCCTGTAATCTCGGCGGCAGTAATTCTGAAGCCCCGGCGCGCTATAAAGTTAGCCGAAGAGCAATACCGCAAAAACGTGCCGAGATCCCTGCAGGCCCAAAGAGAGATGAAGGCATTGATCTAAATTA